TTAATATAATGTGTAGTCTCCACATGTTTGTTTGTTTTTCCCAGTTTTATTTTTCTTGTGATTTAATTCTAGTTTTATTCTGTTGTGGTCAGAAAAGATGCATGGTATAATTTTAATCTTCTTAAATTTATTGAGGCCTAATATGTGCTCTATTCTAGGGAATGTTGCATGTGCACTTGAAAAGAATGTATATTTTGTTGTTTTTGGATGGAATTCTGTATATGCCTGTATTACTCATGTCCAATGTGTCATTCAAAGACATTGTTTCTTTATTGATTTTCTTTCTGAATGATGAATCCATTAATGTAAGTGGAGTGTTAAGTCCCCTACTATTATTGTGTTACCATCAAATTCTCTCTTTATATCCATTAATATTTGTTTTAGGTATTTAAGTACTTCAGTCATGGGTTCGCATGTATTTACAATTGTTGTATCTTCTTGTTGGATTAATCCCTTTATCATTAGGTAATGCCTTTCCTTGTCACTTACTACAGTTATTGTTTTAAAGTCTATTTTGTCTGATATAAGTACTCCTACCCCAGGTTTCTGTTTTGTTTTTGTTTTGTTTTGCTTCCATTTGCATGGTGGGTGTTTTTCTATCCCTTCACTTTCAACCTGTGTGAGCCTTTAGCTCTGAGGTGAGTCTCTTAGAGGTAGCATGTAGATGAGTCTTGTTACTTAAGCCATTCTGGCACTTTATATTTTTGATTGGAACATTTAGGCCATTTACCTGTAAAGTAATTATTGATAGGCATGAACTTATTGCCATTTTAAAAACTTGCTTTCTTATTATTTTGCAGTTCTTTGTTTTTTTCTTTTCCTCTTGCTCTCTTTCTTTGTGACCAATGAGTACCTAGTATTTTTTGGACTTTCTTTTCTCTTTATTTATTTGTGTATCTATCACAAGTTTTTGTGTTTGTGGTTACTAGAAAGTTCATATTTCACATCCTAAGTAAATAGCAGGTCATATTAATTTGATGGTCATTTAAATTCAAACACATTCTTAAAAAAAGAAGAAAAACAGAAAATGAAAAAAATATTTTTTTCTTTTTCTTTTTCCCATTCTCTTCCCTTTTTACTCCCCTCTCTACGGTTTATGTATATGTTGTTGCATTTTACATCTTTTTATTCATATTTTTATTTTGTCTAATTAATGTCATTTCTTTTCCACTTAAAGTAGTTTCTTTCATATTTCTTGTAAGTCTGGTCTAGTGGTGATAAACTCCATTATCTTTTGTTTGTCTGGGAAACTCTTCATCTCCCCTTCAAATCTGAGTGATAATCTCACTGGGTAGAGTATTCTTGGTTGTAGGTTTTTTTCCTTTTAGCACTTTGAATATATCATGCTACTTTCTTCTGGCTTGCAAAGTTTCTACTGAGAAATCAGCTGATACTATTATAGTGTTTCTCTTGTAGGTAACTTTTTGGTTTTCTCTCACTGTTTTAGGATTCTCTCTTTATCTTCATACTTTGATATTTTAATTATTATGTATTGTGGTATGGTCCTGTTTGGGTTCATCTTGTTTGGAACTCTCTGTGCTTCTTGGATTTGGATGTCTATTTTCCTCCTTAGGTTGAGGAACATTGCAGTTATTATTTCTTCAAGTAAGTTTTCTACACCTTTCTCTCTCTTCATTCTTCTGAGACCCCAATAATGTGAATGTTCACTTGATGTTGTCCAAGAGATCTCTTAATCTATCCTCATTAAAAAAAAATTCTTTTCTCTCTTTTTGTTGTTAAGCTTGTGTGATTTTCATTATCCTGTCTTCCAGATTGCTGATACATTCTTCTGTGTCCTCTAAGTTACTGTTGATTCCCTCTAGTGTGTGTTTTTTTTTAATTTTAGTTACTGTATTCTTCAGCTTTGATTAGTTCCTTTTAGTGTTTTCTATCTCTTTATTGAAGGTCTCACTGAGTTCTTTCATTCTTTTCTCCAGTCTGATGAGTATCATTGTGATCATTACTTTAAATTCTTTATCAGGCATATTGTTTATCTTTGTTTCATTTAATTTCTCTACTGAAGTTTTTTCCTTGTTCTTTCTTTTAGAGTATATTCTTCTCTCTCCCCATTTTGCTTGACTTTCTGTGTTGTTTCAATGGATTATGTGAAATGGCTATCACTTCTAAAGTTGAAGGAATGGTCTCCTGCATGGTGACCGTGTGCAGACTGTGTGTGCTTGATGGCTTTTGCTTCAGCTTTGACTGTATGTGCTAGTTACTCTTTTAAATCATGGCTTTTTACAGAGTGAGTCAAAAAAATCATAAAAGAAAATTATAAAAGGAAAGAAAAAAGAAGAAAAGAAAAAAGAAGAAATAAGGAAGAGGTGGAAAAAAAAGAGATCAAGAAAGAAAAGAATAAAACCAAAAATAAAAGAATAAAAACAATGCAAGACAACACATAAATTTTAAAAAGTAAATAAAACAGGATAAAACAATAAAAATTAACCACCCCCCCAAAACCACAGCTTGTTTTCTGAGCCCTAGCACCACAGAGCAGCTGGTGTGGGCTTGAGGGTCCTGGGCTCTTGGAAGTCGTGAGCTCATGAAAAATACTGGACTCCTTGGTTGTGGTATATAGACCCTGCTTTAGTCTAGGCTTTAAAAGTGGGGTGGGAATGTAAACTGTATTGTTCTCTAGTCCCTCTGACTTGGAGGACTTTTCTGCAACTCTTTCACTGCTTGGCAGAGTTCTAGCATTGTTTCTTTTACATGCTAGCTCCTCTTCTAAATCATGTTTTTTGTTGTTGTTTGTTCTGTTTTGTTTTTGTTTTTGTTTTTCTGTGCCCAAGGATAGAGGGATCTATTCCAAGGCCCTCAGTAGTCTCCCTCCCCACTTCTCTTCACAGCATTGGGTTGGGTGTTCCCTTTGTTACTGTGTCTCCATGTCTCTTGCTCTTCTCTTGCCATTCTCTCTGTCTTTGGGTGTTCTGTAGCTGTTCAGTCAGCCTTCAATTCTTCTTCAGGAAGAATTTTCCATCCATAGGTGTAATTAAGTGTGTTCCATGGAGAAGGTGAGTTCAGAGTTTTCATATGTCAGTATCTTGAACCCAAATGTCAGCTTGCAACTCCTTTTGGATGGGGTCTGTTCTCCAGAGCACCCACACATTTCTGTTTCTTACAGTCCCTAATAGGCATTTGAGTTCCTGACTTATAGAAGTTTGGGGCATAGAGTAAGACAAATATAATTCGTGAGAACATGACTGGGATAGACTTCATATTCTTGGTGGTTCATCATATTTAAAAATCTCGGAAGGTTTACTATCAAACAGTATAATGAGTCAGGAAATAGAAGTGGGCTTTGTTTCTTTAATCATAATATTAAATATTTAATATCAAAGTTTAACATTTGATGGGTGCTTTTTAGTGGGCAGTATTGGAATCTTGTAGTTGTTAATTCAGTTCAGTTCACAGAGCATGTATGAAATGCCAATCACATGTTAGTAATTAAACTTGGTATTGGGGATAATTTGTCATTACAGCTTTGTCAGTTATGACATTGTAATTTGGGTGGTTGTCATTTATTTATTTAGTTTTTTAACTGTTTGGTAAATGTTTCATTTAACCGATGTTAACACAAAAGTATTTTGTAAACGGCAGAAAGTAAAATTGTGCATAAACTAAAGACTAAAAGTGCCAGGCATCTCATAGGTTACTATCTTAATTATCTATTGAGTATGTGTCTTTATTCCCAGATGAATGTGCTTTTAAATCTCATTTGTATTTTTCCCCTCTGGTTATAACCTTGCTCTACGGTACATCTGTTTTAATGTTGAGAATGTTGTTAATCTTAAATGAATATCATAAATAAAAGACACATTTGACCCATTATGTGGCTTTTACCTCAGGGTATTCATTGATTCATCCGTCTGCCTTCTAGGAGCCTGTCTGCGACTATTAAAATCCTTTCTTAGAAATGGATTGTACCATTCTTACCCTTTCATTGCTTCGCCGCTTCCACTCCAACTTAGCCCCAGATTTGGGAACCCTGGAGTGTGCTTCTTAGTATTTACAATAGTGAATTGTAAGCATCGCTGTCTAGCAGAAATCAGCTGAGAAGGCTTATTTAAAATGGGAATTTCTGGTTTGCTCCCTGTTGGTCCCCCTACTTCTATAGCCAGTTCAGTTGTCTAGGGTGAAACCAAAGAATCTGTATTTTAATACTCTGCCTATTTTAATATATTTGTTTAAAAAGAGTATTGGCATTTGGATGGAAACAAGGAATCTGCATTTTACTTTTCTTAATATTTATTTATTTTAGAGAGAGCACGCACACGGTGGGGAGAGGGGCAGAGGGGGTGAGAGAGTGAGAGAGAGAATCTCACGCAGACTCCCCACTCAGCTTGGATTAAGTGCCGGCTCCATCTCAGGATCCTGAGATCATGACCTGAGCCAAAACCAAGAGTCGGAAACCTAACCAACTGAGCCACCCAGGTGCCCCCAGGAGTCTGCATTTTAATGCTCTGAATATTTTAATATATTAGTATACAAGATATTAGTTTTAAAAGGGTAATGGTATTTGATGATGATTGCTGTAAACCAAGATGGGGAAATATTCTGAAAAGAAGTTCAGGAATTGAGAGAATTCTGAGATTTCCAACTCCTAAATAATGATCATCTGAAGCCTTTTTGCTCTCCTTCCAAGCAGGCTTAGGCTTTGTCATTAGTGAACCCACATTTGCTCTGAGCCCACCATGGATGCTGTGGGAGTCTGCTGTGTTTGTGCTCCCATGCATGTGACATAGGATATTAAAAGATGAAATGAATTAGTATCAGTGAAATATCAACCAAGAATTAACTATAAGGATAATCACTCTTGCTTCTATACCATTAATCAAAACAAGAACTTTTTCCCCCCTATATTTGTTGTAAGTTCATCTGGAGAGGGACACTTATAATGTAAACAGCAGCATTTCTTGATGGCAGAAGGCAGCTACTGAACACTACCATGCAATTTAATTTAATTATGTTTAATTGCTCATTGCTGCATACAGAGACTGCAATAGTCACTGCACAGCAATCAACATTAGTATTCGACAATGACATAAAGAAATTACTTCCATTTCTTGGCCAAGTCCATTGACAAGTCCACTGACCTGATGCCAAGCATTTTGTGTGTCTTACTGGGAATCTTTCCAGAGCTCTTTGTAGGGGAGGACACTGATCCAGAGGGGCCTCAGTGTTCTCATTTTTGGGAATCAGCTGTTTCTTAAATTTCATCACCCCACACAGCCTATTCTGCAATGGTACTTAGCTGGTTTGTGGTCTGATTTGGTGAACACTTCAAAGAACTTGAATTTTTGGAATATGAAGACAAGTCCATGGGTAACTGGAAACTGACTGTCTTTATCTTGTCCCTAAAGAAAGCAGAATAAGAAGAAGATAAGCAAGACTTTTTAGTGAGCCTTTATATAAAACATCTACTTTTTTTTCTAAGCCACCAAAGACTGCCTAAACTGTTAAAAGCTCATTTGAAACATATCATAATATATTTTGTTTAGTTATTCAACAATAATACAAAAAATATATTGGAATTGGCTTTTGATTAAACCCAATGAAGGATGTTGATGAAACTAAAATTTAAAACTATTGAGGGAAGATTATTCTCTTCATGTTTAAAGTTAAAGAATATCATATTGTCTCAGGTGAAGGGTCTTTCACATTGGAAATCTTCAGGTGAAAGGAAGCAGAAATTTGAGGCAATTATTCTATAATCCAGATCAGTCAGCAATTACAGATTTTGAATTAACAGAATACCCATCACACCTGAACAGTAAAGGGGAGAGAGGAAAGACGGCAATGAATCATATCATCTGAAGGATTAAATTGTTATGTAGAATCTTGACATAAATTAGGATATACCGTTCTCAGGAAAAAGTCAAAAGAATGGTGTTTGAAATTTTTGCCTTTTCTCCAATATTGTTCTCTCTCTGTTTCTTTCTTTGTATTGGATAAGGCGATCATTTCACTGAGTGGCATATAGTGGTGTGGATCAAGGGGAACACATCTGCTCCCTCCCTTGGGTGGAAGGTCAGTGGTTCCATATGTTGGAATCAATAAAATAATAACTGCTCTGTCATTTATTAGCCCTCACTTGACTATCTCATTTATTCTTCACAAAAACTCTGAGGTAAATGCTATTGTGATTCCTTTTTAAAATTTTTAATTTTTTTTTTTTACAGAAGAATAAACTATTTTATAAAACAGACAGATAACTTTTTTAAGGCCAATGATGCAGTTGAGATTTTAGCCATCTGATTTCAGAGGTTGCCTTCTTAACCATTTTGATATGAAAAGGAAAAGATACAGTTGACCCTTGAACAACACAGGGGTTGGGGGCACTCAGCCCTGGGGCTGTGGAAAATCTGTGCATAACTTTTGATTCCCCCCAAAGCTTAAATACTACTAGCCTACTATTGACTTGGGACCTTACCAATAACATGAATAGTTGATTAACACATATTCTGTATGTTGTATCTATTATTTGCCATATTCTTACAATCAAATACACTAGAGAAAAGAAAGTAAAGGGCAATCATTAAGAAAAATCATAAGGAAGAAAATCATAAGGAGGAGAAAGGACATTTACAGTACTGTACTGTACCTATTGAAAAAAATCCATACATAAGTGGACTGGCGCAGTTCAAATCTGTGTTGTTCAAGAGTCAGTGGTGTATGTACTTAATGTATCTGGTTTCTCCTATCTGCAAAATGAATAATATAGCATTTCTAATTAAATTAGTGATTTATTACTAATTTATATTTATATTAATTTATAATTTATTAAAAATTAATTTGAGTATAGTTGACACACAATGTTACATTAGTTTCAGGTAGGCAACATAGTGATTCAACATTTCTGTGTCTCATGCTATGCTCCATATGGACGCTTTCTCTTAATCTTAAGCTTTTTCTTAAATGCAGGACATTAGATTTCTAGGTTTCTTATTTCTCCGAAAATTCAGGAAAAATTAAAATTCTGTCTCTGGTTTTTGGAGAGCATTTGTTCTTAGAAATCTTGACATTGGCATTATTCTGTAAAACACTTTCTTGGTATAATAATGAAAAGGCTCACAAGCAAATTAGGTACGATGTCTGACTGCTTCAAAAGCCAGTTCAAACAAATTGGCTCTTGATAAATCTTTTGAAAAAATTTTTAAGAACTATTAGAAAGTAAATGAATCTACAAAAAAATTAGAGGGCTTATGTAATGACACGTTACTTGACTAGTTAATCACTGAGGACATAAAAGACAAAATTAAAAAAGCACTATAACAAAAAAATACATGCTTCGTTCTTGTCAACAGTTCTCTGGAATTGACTGGATTTTATGCCAACCCAGCTGTTGATTTCAAGCCATTACTGACTTTCTTGTTTTCACACAAACCTGCAATTGGCTCAGTCTTTCCCATTAAAGTAGATTCTAAATTACCAATAGATTGTGTTCTAAATAGTTTATTCCTTGGCAGCTTGGAATTTGGAAAACATTTTGTTTTAGAAAAATAATACATTATAAACATTGGCTAGGCTCCCAAACAATCACAGAAAATAATATGAATTTTATGAAAATTAATAATACTGTATTTCTCAACATGATAGGTTTGTGAGAATGTAATGGATTAAGTGCAAAAAAATAAAACATTATGATAATGTGCACTGCACAATTTCAAAATAGGCAGACACAGACTGGAAAGATAGATATGCATCAAAATCTACCTGGTGGTTATTCAGACAGTGAAGTTATGGAAGATTTTCCTTTTTATACTTTTTTACTTTGAATATTGCATTTATACTTTGTAATTTGCAATTTTCTTATTATAATGAATATTTAGTTCCATTATATAACTGGATATATATATGCATTTGGAGATATATATATGTGTATATATAATTTTTCAAAACAAAAGACATTCCTTTTTATGATGAACATTTAATGTATACATATGTGTATATATATATATATATTTTTTTTTTTTTAAGCAAAAGATGCATCTCTGCCTTTCTTCTTTCTTCTCTCTGAAAACACATGGTCATTGACACACAGTGATTGGTTATACACTTCTTGTTTCCATGTCCCACATCTGCTCTGCCAATAAATCTTATGAGCTCCATATTCAAAGTATATCCAGAAATCACATCCACCATTACTACCTTGGCCAAGAAATGATCATCTCTTTCCTAGATCATTTTTTTTTAAGCCTTAAACCTGGTCTTTTTATTTTCTGTATTGTTTTCCTACAGTCTTTTTAAAGCAGGATTCCCAACATGATCCATTATCTTTTATTTTTTTTTTAATGAAAAAAACATGTTATGTACTCAGTTCACTTGGGATAAATCTAGAATCATTGGAGGGGAGTGGAAGGTCACCCCTAGTGCTTTGCCTTCATCTTCCCCTGTTCTCTTGCTTGCTTACTCTCTTCCAGTCACACCAGCCTCCTTTCCCTTCCTCAAACATGGTCATGCACCCCCTCTCAGCATCTTTTGCATTTTTTGTCCTCAATTCTTGGAAAGTTTTTCCCATCCAGAAATCCTCAGAATGCTTTCCCTTTTTACTCAGATGGTGAGGTATTTCCTAGCTACCATATATACAATTTCAATAATGCTTGCTTTTCTAACCCTTCCTTTTCCCTTTTAATTGGTTTGATGTTCTCTTTCATACATATCATCATCTAATATAAATGATACACTTTTATGTATTGTCTTATTTATGGATTATCATTGTACAAAGGAATAGGCAGGGACTTCTGACAATTTTTTTTCCCTCTTTATCTTTATATTTATGGCCTAGAATCCTACCCAGCACGTAACATGCCTCCAGGATTATTTGTTGAATGAATGAATGAATGTAATGAAGGTATAGAAAAAAATAGGTCAAAAGGATAGAAGCAAAAACTCATGATCACACTCGCTCATTGGCAGGACCAGGGAAAAGAGATACAGGATTTTTCTCTCTGTTAGTAACATCTTTTTCCTTTAATATATAAAAACATCTGAAAAAAAGTGACAAAATTCTTGCAGAGTAAAACAGTGATCTTTGTAACTTTCATTCCCGAATATTTTTACCTTTTAAAACTTTTCAGAAAGACATTTTTTACTCGCTTTCCAATAAGTACAGGACAAAACACACACTTGTGAGCCTTGCCTGGAAGTCCTCTTATGATGGTCTGTGCTCCCTCCTTCTCCCTCATTCACTGGACTACTTTGGTTTCCCCCATAGTTATGCTTCCTTCTGTCTTGTCTTTTCTGCTCTACCTGAGGTGATCTTCCCATTTTCCCCTGCGTGACTATATGCAGCTGTCCTTCATGACTCAGGCTACTCTCTCTGTTCCTGTAATAGAACTTTCTGGAAGTGAAACACAATTTTCATCCCGTCTTATAAAATCCAAATGAAACTGGCTCAGCCTTTGTGTCCTGCATCCTGTGGTAGGTCCAGTGCTCTTTCCAATATTGAAGAGAATCCCTGCAGGCCTATCACTGTTATCTCTTGATTTGATTTCCTGTCACTGCTGAGCTTGATGATTTCTTTATTCTCTCTGCACCCCATTTATTCCATTTTCTCTTCTTCATGAGAACCCAGGCCTTTTTTTCTCCTCGAAGGAGACAAATATGTAGAGACTCTCCCTAGAAAGTCAGGGCCTAACTGGGAATTGGAAGTTGGGGTGGAGCATGTGGGAGAGGGGAGGTCATGCTCTAGCCTTATAGAGGGGATAAGTTAGACTTGATAGTGACAGTTTTGTTCTGAAAGGGGCCCTTGGCTCGAACCACTCCTGGCGTCACCCTCTGAGCTTCCTCTTAGAAGACTCCCGCCCATCTCTCAAATGTCTTCTTAAATCTCTCTTTTTCACAGATGCGCCTACCTCCCCAAACATCAGCTCCTGGATTTTGAAAAACAAATTCCTTTTCTCTTTGTCTCTTGGCCCTCTTGAGTAATGATTTTTGTATACCGCCCGAAAGCCACTGGGTCACTTCCCTCGCAAGAACAGTCCTCTCTCAGAGAAGACTTCTGTGTTCAGTTCCTAAAATAAGTGTGTCTTTTCCTTGAGAAGAATTTTGTTAGAGTGATCAGTTCATTGGTGTGTCTTTGTCATGGAATGAAAGTTTTGAACGTAACGTTTTGGTTTTGCTGAATCTTGTATCACTGGTGGCCAGCTCAGAGTACAGTTGTTAGTGCTCAATGAGTAAGGGCAGACCAATGAAGTCTTCTGCTCATAGAGGCATCTGTTAGAGTGACATTTGATCTAAAAAAATATTTCTTTCTTTTGACCCCCTAAATGCACATGTGAGATGGAAATTAATTTGGCCCAAAACACTATTTGGTTTTGTTTCTTTGACCTAAGACCTTGCCTATCAATGGGAATGCCTGAGTGCTTTCATAGCACGTGCCTATAATCTATCTAACTTGAGGCAGATCGTACATTACCTGGTTACATTATCAAAAACATGATCAGGAGAAGTTCTTTGGTTGGAACTAGTGCTGGTTAAAGAATCTGCTGCAAACATCTTTTCTTTATTGTCTTGCTTCTTAATTGAAGAACATGCCAGTGATTTAATTCTTCCCTGAGCTCCTAGAATTCCACTCTTTGGGTGTCTTTCCTCAGGTTTCCAGGGATCATTTGCAGCAAATGAATGAATTGGTGAGGAGATGGAATAGCGTCTAACAATCATGACGTTGCCTGTGTAGGAGACACAAAATTTAAGTTTATGAAAATTTCACCTTTAATGATGTCCACAGATGTCATATTATATTAGTAGTACTTCATTAAAATGACCTAAGCAAAACTATTACTTTTGATTCATTTTTTTTCACATAAACTACATCTAGTCATTTATTTATTTGACAAATAATGTCAGGCACTTTTTTATGAGATAGAGATGGGGATAGTGGCCCACTCAAAACTCTTGCCTGCATAGAGCTTACTATCTTTTTGTGCAGACAGATGATAAACAAACATTATGTGATAAAATTCAGGTAGTGACAGATCCCGGAAAGTCCAATTAGGCTGATAAAGGCAAGGGGATAGAGACATATGAAAGAGGAGGTCTGGAAGCTCTATTAACAGTGTGGTTGGCAATACCTTTGTAAGGATACAGCATTAGAACAGAGACCTGGACATGTAGAAATAATAAAACAAGACTTTAAGATGGGTAGAACATGGCTATTCTGGAGATGACAATGCTGGACATTTTTTCTCCTTCTAGAAGATTGTAGAAGAACATATTAATCATAGCCTCTCATCACAAAAATTGAACTGGCCACTGCTAACTGGGCTACATTTGTGTGTCTTGACTTTAGACTTTAGTTGAGATGGTCACTATGAGGAGGCCTGTTGACTGAGAGACGAAAGCACAGGAGGTCTGTGGAAAGAAGCAAAAGTTCCTCAATAGAAAACTGGAGTGTTCTTGAGAGAGATGGAGGGATTTATGGCCTTGTTTGTGAGGGCTTTCAATTCAATTTTTGTCTGTAAATGTCTGCCAATAAACTCTTTTCTTGATGTGAATCGAGTATTCTCTGCTCCTTGTAACTCAGGCACTTCGATTAAAAGAGCTTTGTTTTAGGGAGTTTAGTTTGTCTGAATCCCTATGACACCATACTAATGCTGACCAGACATCCAGTTCTCATCCAGGGGGTGAAGAAGCCTGACCTCGGGTTGGTTTTCATTTTCTGGAACACTTAAGGAATGTTTACTGCATCTTTTTTCTTTCTAGTCACAGCCTTGGCATGAACTAGCATGGGTGTTTAAGAAAGGCTTGCATCATGTTTGGGTTTTAAGAGTGCTAGAAGCACAATTATTTCTTAGTTAAGTTTGTTGCCCACATCTGCAGAATGCAGACAGCAGATTATTAAGGCCATTGCAAAACGTGGAGGCTGCCTCGGCTTTTTATGGTTTGGAAGAGTGGAAGATCAGCTTTCAGGCAAGAGTTTGGGGGCAGAGAGAAGTGTTTTAAGTTCAAATCTATCCGAAGTGTTTAACTGCATGCAAATACTGTTCCTAAATTATCTTTAAACACTACTTTGGCCATCATCTATAACTTCTATAATTGTCTAAGAACAAATTTATGGCTATTGACAATCATAAACGTTTCTGTTTGGAAGGATTATAAAGTATTCTCTTTAAAGCGAATGGTAGGAAATTACAACTGAAGAAATTGTGCTGATGATGGCAAGGGGAAGTTCCTTCTTATTTGGAACCTGTGCTCCAGTTTGACTGACTAGCAGCTTGGCTCTTTGTTCATCGCTCTGGGTCACAAATACAGACTCAAGTCTGTATCCTTTAGTTTCTTATGAGTAAAAGGCAAAGGATATTCAACACAGCATCATGGGGTCATCAGCACAATTTCAGAACTTCATAGCCAGCAAAGGATGTGAATACATTGCAGAGAACTGGAGGTCCAGTGATGCTGGGGGGTCCCTGTAAAGAGTCATTTTTTTAAAAATATATAAGGGCAGCATCCCTGAAAGTGCAGGTTGGATTGCATATCCACCAAATGCTCATCCTCTATTACAGATGCTTCCATGAGAACGTAGCCAGCAAAGACTCATTCTAAGCAGGTGCTCTTCTGCATTGTTACTATATATATGTCCCCATATATACTATGGATATATAATATAGACATCCCCTTATTACAGACATCTAATGTATATGTTCCTTTATTATCTATATCTGTAGATCCCCAAGCAGCTGTGTTCCTGGGCTGTAGCATATAAATGTCCATATATGTATGTGTCCTACTCAGCATTGACCAAGTATTACAAAACTGGGACTGCCATCTGGTGTCCTCATGTTCAGGCCAATGTTCTTCTTACTTGTGTCCCTTACTTTAAGGATAGTATATTGCATTTAAGACACAGATAAATACATGTAAAGTAACTCAACTGGGCTTCCAAGCACAAACTTAAATCATGTCTCTTTCTGTGTTTAACTGATACAACTAACTAGAGTCCCTCCAATTTTACCAGTTTTTCACCAGTCCTTTTTTTTTTTAAATTTTATTTGTTCACTTGACACAGATCACAAGTAGGCAGAGAGGCAGGCAGAGAGAGAAAGAAGAGGAAGCAGGCTCCCCACTGAGCAGAAAGCCCCCATGCAGGGCTCGATCCCAGGACCCTGAGATCATGACCTGAGCCGAAGGCAGAGGCTTAACCCAGAAGCACCCAGGCACCCCTCACCAGTCCTTTTTAAACTTAGTGCTAATGTTCTTATTGGGAGTTACCATCCATATGTTGAAGAAGTATGCTATCAATTGCGTGCTTAGTTCTTACTAATAGTCTAAACTCTCCTAAGCTTGATGGCATTCAGGCCCTAAAAGTGTAAAGGGTATACTATACTTTTTGTTCTTTCACTGGTGTAATTCTTGTTGTAAAATAGCCACAATATATACTAAGACTAAACTTATGTTTTTTTTCAGTTTTATAGAAAATAAAATTTCATAGAAAATATTTTATAGAAAATAAATTTGATAGAGTGTCGTTTGCTTTTGGAGTAAGGCAGTGGTTTTCAACTGGGGGAAATTTTGTCCTTCAGGCAACAATTGGAATCTCCAAAGACATTTCATGACTAGAGGGTGAGAGGCAGGTATTACTGGCATGTAGTATTTAGAAGCCAGAAAAGCTACTAAACATCCTATAGTGAAGACAGACCCATACAAATACAGAGCTAGTTAGTATAAAATGTCTAAGATTGCAGAGGTTGAGAAACTTTAGGGTAAGGATGTATTACAAATATCCATATCTTTCTTTTCTTTTTCCTTTTTTATTTTTTTTAAACCAGGAGAAAGTCTAACCTCCCTGTTAGTTACTCTTTCAGTTTTATTAAATAACCAGCAGACAGAACTACTCAGATCCAGAGTTGCACTTAACAAAAAGGGAAAAAGCCCTGATGGGAATCTCTTCTCAGCTTTGAAATGCAGGGTCCCATGCTAGAGAGAGACCTCTCGAACAGAGGAAACCAGCTGGCAAATAGGACATGTTTCCTTGCCAAGCTGTTCAGAACCTCTAAATGGCATTGCCTGAAGCCTTTGACAAATGATATTAAAAGAGAGTTGAGTATTTAATTATGTATAGCAATTTTATTTGAATCTGCTGCATGTAGGCAAGCACTGATCATTTAAATGCAGAACATAGTTTTTGCCCTGCTGATTTCTGACTTTGCATAGAGTCTTAACAGTCAATATTCTTCTCCCACAAAAGGTGAGAGATTTGATTCTTAGAATGTATCAAACACTGGCCCTGCCTCTTTTTAAAAAATTAACATACAATGTATTATTTGTTTCAGGGGTACAGGACTGTGATTCATCAGTCTTACACAATTCGCAGCACTCACCATAGCATATACGCGTCCCAATGTCCATCACCCAGCCACCCCATCCCTCCCCCACTCTTCCCTTCCAGCAACCCTGACCCTGCGTCTTGAAGCCTTCGACCTGTACAGGACGTTGAATTATGGGCAACACACATTCACGCAGGGCAGGAAGTTTCTTTATAAAACATGGATAAGAAACAACATCTGTCATTTGTTGTGTGCTTGCCAGGTGTCAAATTAAGCACTCAGTCTATTATTACAGAGAGATAGGTACCATAACCATGTCAGGTAGGTACTCTAACACTTCCTAGAAAACAAAGGTAAAAGATTTCTCCTAAGTATCTCTGAGTCAAGTGGATAATGAATGACAAATCACTTGCAACCATAATTGTCTGACTGTAATAATCATACCTGGAGCTATTGTGCAATATTGTAACTTAATAAGTGAGCATGGCTTTTGACACACACCCATTCCGTGTTCTATGATGTGACATTTAAAGGCTTGAGGTCAAGAAGGAAAAAAACACATTGTTTTTTATGGGACTGATTTTCACAAACCTGCCATTCCCACCTTTCCAGAAAGATATGAAATAGTTTTTGATGTTTCTAAAATACGTTGCTTGAAGATACTAATGATTTTTCCCCCTAGGGATTTAGAAGTAATCTACCAAGAGAAAAAGAATGGAACTCACCACTACCAACGCCAACTTCTGCAGTTATATGAGAGGCACAATAAACCTAATGTTTAGGAGGGCTTTGCAAAGATGGGCACAGCCCAGAAGAGCTATGGACATTTGGTACCTTGATGTTCGTGCACAGCTGGTGCTGCATCAACGGAAACACCACCATGAAGGGTTGCTGGAGATTTTTCGGATGCTTTTTCGAGGTTACCAAGGTCTGTGACTTCCTCTTCCCTCTCATCTTCTGATTCTCCGCTGGGGCCTGGGGTTCTCTGACTACTTGAGGCCAGCTTCATCCGGAGGACTTGATTCTCTTTCTTCAGCTTATTGATCTCTGCCCTCATTTCCTGGATAATTCTTATGCACTGGATGTTAGCTTCCATTTGCCCCTTCTCGGGTGGCACTGGTTTGCTCCTCTGGGGAGACAGGTCACCTTTTGCTCATGGACCATATGCACAGTCTACTCAGCAGGACTGGTGGATCCCACCCATAAACCTTCCTGAACAATAGATGTCACTCTTCTCTGGGCCATCTTTCAGCACCTGGAGAGTTCGACTGTCAGGGAGGAAAAGGATCTCCATGACTTATTCATTCTGGGGTTTGTTTTTCAGAACAGAGCTTTTCTTTGTATCTTTCATTTCATATCAATCCACAGTTCTAGAATATTGCTATGTGACTGAAGAGAAGAGAGCATTCCGAAAATTTCCAGGGTGGAATAGAATCTCTTGTTTCTGTCGTGAACTCACAACCTACCAGCTACTCAGTTTTCTGTGTTACTACTTCTGGAATCAAATGTTTTATAGAATCACCAACTGTCATTAGTAAATGAAAATGGACACATAAGGGGGCACCTGGGTGGCTCAGTGGGTTAAAGCCTCTGCCTTAGGCTTAGGTCATGATCTCAGGGTCCTGGGATCGAGCCCCGCATCGCATCGGGCTCTCTGCTCAGCGGGGAGCCTGCTTCCTCCTCTCTCTGCCTGCCTTTCTGCCTACTTTGATCTCTGTCTGTCAAATAAATAAATAAAATCTTAAAAAAAAAAAAAGAAAATGGACACATAAGAATTATGCCTTGTTTTTTCTATAAAATATGTCATAATCCTGTACTTTTGGGGCAAGTTATTAATCTTGACACTTGTTGAATGAGGGTAACAGTATTCATAGGGGACATATGCTTATAGAGATTATTATAAAAGATAATTAGTTATACCTAAATCCCCCAAGATAAAGGCACATCACTTTTCAGTAGTTTCTATCTTGTAAGCATTTTTGCTATTATTTGGTTTTAGATTGTTTGCTTGAGCAAAGGTTGCCCAGGGATATTTTGGAAAGGTAAGAAAATATAGGTTGAACATTAATCTTGAATGAGAAGGACATGCAACAATTAACAGCTTTCATTACCTATTTCCTGAAGAGTCTTCTTTGTTGGGAATGAAAAGTATGACTCTTAAATAGCATATGCTCTGATAGCAGTATCTATTTGGAAATTCAATTAATGTTTAAACAGATGCACTTCTGCAATAGGGTAAAATGATTAGAAAATTTTTCATGGTGATTGTTTTCCCTGCACATTCATTTCCTTCTGTTTTCTGTATATATTGATTTTTTTTTTTTTTTTTTTTTTGCCTAGCTTAATAAATATTTGTTGATTGATCCAAGGCTGCAGTTTGAAGGAGTGATTAGGGAAAGTCTTATTCCCTTTATATGTATACACATTTTTGTATGTATTTAATCTTGGGATGTGTTTATTAAAAAATCAGTCTAAAAATAATAAGGCTGTTTATACTACTTCTATTTGTATGTAAATGAATTCTAGTAAACATTTCTGTGCCAGGCATTCTACATGCTATAGCAGTGGGTAGTGGAAATGTGGAATTTGAATTTTAAAGGTTATCAGTTGAACCACCTATCAGATGTTCAAATCTGTTCCAGAGCATTTCTGTAATGGATTATTGACCCTATATTTGAGAATTTCTCCTTTAGGGGGATCCCCTTCTTACCAAGTTATGCTATTTATGTTTTAATTAAAATTATCCACAATGACCAAAAATTGGCCTCTCTCTATATTGTATCTCATTCTTTTCTTTGGAGAGGTTATGTAACACATCTAATCCTTGTTTTAATGAAAAGTCTTATTCCATCATATTCCAATGAGTGTCTCTTCTCCAGAATAAACCTCCCCAATTTCTTCAGCTATTTGTGATCTAATGTGGGAACAAGGGCTTTAGGTCCATCATGGACACTCTCTTTCAAACATGTTTCCATTTGTTGATAAGCCTCTTGAATTAGAACATCTGCCCAGAATACATTCTCCTGAAGGATCAGAATCATATAGAATACACTGCCCTAGGTTTTATAAAGTGTTTTTTGGAAACTATGCCATGAAAGTGGGCAGTAAAAATCATTTTTGGAATTGCATCCAGCACAACAGAGCAGAAAATAAAACTAACTTGTATAACTGTTGGTAATGACAAGAAAGCCATCATTATATACAGACAATTTGATTGTGTATCTAGAAAGTTCAAGGAAAAGAATAAAAAATTTTATTTTGTAATTTACCCTTATGTTGCAAAATAAGCATTTAAAGATCAATAGTTTTCCTAAATACAATTAATAACTGTATAGAAAATATAATTGAAAAGTACTCCGCTGACAAGAGGTCCCCCCATATATAAAAACTCAGAAATTATCTTTTAAAAAGTTTGTAAAGTATATAATGAAGAAAAATTTGGCATTTTATGGAAATGGAAAACTTGAGAAAATGGAGATTACTATCCCAGTAAGAAGATTGTATATTTTGAAGAAGTCTTAAATTATTTCTAATTTATAGATTTAATGGAAGCCCAATTGAAATCTCTTTGGGACTTAAAAAAACAAAACAAAACTGATGAACCCATTCTAAAGATCATCAGGAGACAATAGTTTTGAAGTATGTGAAAGTAGAGTATTTATTGGGACCTTGCCTTATTACATTTTTCAGTATAGTCTGAAGCTCTGAAAGTGAAAACAGTGAACATTGGTGAATTTGCAGATGGGAAGTTACAATTCCTAGAAGAAACACAAATGGCAAAAAAAGGTGAAAAAAGCCCAGTATCACTAGTAATTTCACAAATTGTAATACTGAAATACTTTTTTCTTTTTTTTTTTGGAGGGGCCCAATAAGTTAACAAAGATTTTGAAAAGTGAATAAAATTAATGTAAAACAACAATTGTTTATTGACACATATCAACTGACAATACTTATTGATTGATAGGTTTCTTTTTGATTAATAATTTAAAAGCAAGTAGTAAGGGTATTTTAAAATTTTTTAACTGTAGACTTTTAAGTTCTACCTTTAAACTCTACCTAATAAAGTAATTACATTTAAAGTTTTTTATATTTTATATTTTATATTTTTATTTTATAAAAGGATGCTCATTGCACACTAATAGCAAAACTTTGGAAATATCTAAATGTTCAAAAAAGAAGAATCAATAAATAAAATATGGAATAGACATAAAACAGAATAGTATTCTGAACCTGAAAACATTGAGTAAAAAAGTAATATATCCAACTGTATATAGACTAAAATCAAAACCATGTGAAATGGATTGGAAACACCCCAAAAGGAAAACAATTCCTATTTCTGGTAAGATTTTGGATGATTTTTATTTATCCCTGTATGCTATCTGAATTAAATATATATATAGTTACATGTAAGACTTCCATAAGGAAAAAATTAAGAAATGGAAAGAAAGTAGGTAATATGAAAGAAATTTAATAAAATGAACTAACATCACATTTTCTTGGGATTTCTTTTTAACTTGTGATTAAGCCAAATGGCTGTGAGAACTGGAAATTCTTTTCCTTCCCAAACTAGTTTTTTTTAAGATTTTATTTATTTATTTGACAGACAGAGATCACAAGTAGGCAGAAAGGCAGGCAGAAGAGAGAGGAGGAAGCAGGCTCCCTGCAGAGCAGCGAACCCAATGCGGGACTCGATCCCAAGACCCTGAGATTATGACCCGAGTCGAAGGCAGAGGCTTTAACCCACTGAGCCACACAGGCGCCCCTAGTTTTGGTTTTTAATAGTTGTCAGTAATTTTGAAATTTGATGTATGAGTGAAAGCTATTTAGAATTGGTACATTTTTATGTAAATGCTAGGACTGGTGGTTCTATAACTACATGTGATTTATTTTCAAGTAATAATCCAGGCAATAAATTGGCTTGGGGATCCAGTCTGAAGAATGAAAGAGCAGGTGATTGTTGACGTGTGGAAGAACTATGACCACTGCCACCATGACTCCTTGATGGGGCTTTGGATCTTTCTCTTGAGCCAACAAAATCAAGACTCTGGGTCTTTTTTCTAGAGCAGGAATCCATCAGCATCACCTGGGAGTGCTTACTAAAATGCAGGTCTAGGGTTCAACCTTGCACCTGTTGCACACTCTCCTGCAGTAGACTTGGTAAATTATGTTATAAGAAGCTTCCTGGGAACAATTACAAAGCTTCTGGTAGCACATTTAAAAAGAAAAAGAAACAGATTAAATTAAGGTTAATATATTTTATTTAACAAAATAGATCTAGAATAGTTACATTTCAAATGCAAATAAATATTAAAATTGCTAGTGAAATAGTTTTACATGATTATGCTCTTGCTAAGTCTTTAAAATCCAGTGTACATTTTACACTTATAGCCCATCATAATTCAGACACTAAATTTTCATTGGAAATACTTGGTCTGTGTTCAGATTTATAAAGTTATTTGAAAAAGTGTATTTGCACACCTGAGTAAGTTCAAACATACTTAAATGCACTAGGTTTTAGTCTGTCTTCTGCACAGTAGCCTCCAGTCATCCTCCAGAGCAGTGGGAGTAAAGGGCAAATTCCTACAGTGACGCCCAAAGTCTTAGCCCTCTGGTTTTTGGTTGTGGTCTCACTTCATCTGCCACTCGCCTTGCTCCAACACTCCATTCACCCCAGTCACATGGGCCTTCTACGTTCCACAAACACTCCAGACACATGTTTGCCTTAGGACCCTGGTCTTAGCTGTCCCTGGGATTGACGGTGCTTCTCCCCAGATTTCCACGTAGTAAATTCCCTCATCTTATATATCAGCTAATAAACCACTCCCCACAGCAGGAGTCCGCCTGGTGGGAATGCAGTAGATCTTTGGCTTTTCCTACATCTAAGGAAAAAGTTTAAGAAAACAGATGAGCTGCATTAGGATGTCTATTTTCCAGACAACAGAGTTGGTACTTCCTTCAATCCTCCTTGAATAAATGATGACCCAGCCTGTCTTTTTTCTGGACATAAAATCATGCCTTGCTAGAATATGGTGTGTAGGGCTGATGTAGCTTCCTTAATGTGTCAGAACCTTCAGTTTTAGTCAGTGACAGAGGATGAGCAAGGTCAGATTAGAACTCTGGGATTTAACTGCATCATTACCACTAGACCACATGTCCTATGTGGAAACACCTGATTGCCTTCCCCTCTAAAACATAAGAGAAAAATGTCACTTACATGAAATCTTATATCTTGCTTTCAGGCAGGCATACATCCTGCTGTTTTAAATTATCTAAACAGCTGCTGAGAAATTTGACTTTTGCATGATCTGCTGAGAATTCACTCTGACCTTGAACTTGATATGTAGCCATTGTCAGAGTGATTTCCCAGGTGACCGGAAGCATCTGGTGTTGCAATGAGCCCAGACTCAGGAGCCTATTTGACAGTCTGCCACCTCACCATTGTTTTGACATTTGAGTACCACACAGTAGCAGAGCAGCCATGTGGAAAGGAAGGAGGAGATGAGAAGTTTTTGATTTTTACAGTATGCATGAAATGCTAAGTCTGTGAGAGGGATGTTTAAGCATGCCCTGGGTCAACTCACATGAAAGAGATTAGCTGCCTCTCTGTGCAGCCTAATGTGAGATGATCTTGCATTGGCTGGCTTTGTGAGCTTGAGGAGACTGCCATGGAGACAGGCATGGGAAGGAACAACCACCATCGGATAGGTGACTGCTGACCTCTGGTGAGTCTCTAATGGGCAAAAGAATTTCAGGGTTTCCCTGAGACTGGCACGTGCGCAAAGAATTTGCACTGATATAATGGACAGGGCAAAATCATGGGTCCCAAAGTCCTAACTTCTGCTTGTCACTAATTCATTATTAAATCTTATTCACAATGTATGGGCATTGCAGAAATATATCAAATGCCTTACACAGAGAGGCAGGTAAAGTCCATGGACGAGGATGCCAAGTTCAGCAACTACTCGCCTCCAGACGTTTGTTGCCACGAAAGAATGCAGTGCTTTGGATTCCCCAAAAAGCTGAGAATCCAGATTTTATATGAGATCTCCACATTTTTAAAGCTAGACAACTAATTCAACTTTTCAAATATACTGTGCAGCCCCAACAAAATGCGTTAGAGAGAATGAATAGATTCTCTCAGTTTTAAATGTGTGGAAACAAAGTCCTTTTTCCCATGAGAAACTTAGGATCAGAAAAGTAATATAGCTCTCCAAGATCATCTTGCGTTAATGAACGTTTGCTGAGTACCAAGTTTATGCCTCCAGGGAAGATAATCTGTAAAGATCTTTACTGGATAAACTTTCACTGCAAGACCAAGTCACTCCTTTTTTTCTGAGCTTGTATCTGTACATGTAAATGAAACAGAAGCACAGTTATCTCCATGAATAACTGTGAAGAGTAAATGAATTTACAACAAGTACTTTGAAATGAGTCAATTTCAAATAAATGTAGTTGAATAACATCAAATGTTAAGATCGAAAATTGCTGGTTGGTCCTTCTTTTTGTCATCCAGCATCAGCCCTGCATGGAGAGGGCTTCTCAGGCGAGGAGGGGGATGGGAAGGCAGAGGAGGGGGTGGGGAAGAGAGCCTGGTCTGCTGCAAGGTTTGCAAGATTTATGCAAGCTTCATACTTGTGTCACCATCAGCAAGTTATTCCTTTCTGCTGAGCCATTATATTTTTACTTTCTGAAAATCCTTCTTGTCACTTGTGGGTCATTTGGGAAGAATCAACATCTTTTCTGTATTAAGTCTTTATTATGACATTTATTCAGCTCTCCTTTTAAGTACTTCCATGGGGTTTCTTAGTTCTATCCATTAGAGTCTTGGATTTGTTTTATTATGCAATACTTGCATTATCATGTAGTTCTGAATGTTTTGTCATTTCTAACGTTATCATCACATGCATTCCGTCAAGAAATACTTCTTATCATGTGCCAAGCCCTGTGCAAAGTACTGGGCTTTTACTAAAACACAGGACAGACAAAAACTCCCTACCTGAGTGGAATTTATATGCTAATCAGGTAGAGAGCAAAGAAGCACAATATATAGGAAAAATGTAAAGCATATGAGAAGGGATGTAGCTATGGAGAAAAATAGAGCAGGGAGAAGGCACACAGAATGCCAGGTGAGGGCAGTGAGAGTTCGATTTTAAATTCATTTTAAAAGCTGAGCAGCTAGGAAAGGTGTCCCTGTGAAGGTGATCCGAGGAAGGGAGGGAGAACACTGATGAGAAAGTAGCATGTCTGGCATAGTGAGTGGAAAGAACACAGGCAATGAGGCAACCGTATTCTTGTCATGTGTACTGGTTGGTGTCACAGAGCCCAGAGCCATCCGAACGGATGGGATATGGGAGAAATTACTAGAAAGTCAGGCAGGTAAAGGGGGAGACAGAGCAGGTGGCTTCAGATTATTTTTCCAAATGATAAATTTATGAAACCCAAATTATTGATGTATTTGGACTCACTTCTACTTAATTCTCTATTTGCAATTCTTTTTCCCTTGGCTTCCTTTTCTTCCTTTATCTCTGTCATCAGATGGCTTAATAAAATCACCTTTATATCGTACTATAGAAAGCAACACAGTCTCTAAAAGTGATGAAGTTCTAGAACATAGGTGAGGTTCGGTGGGGTGAGGTTTGGAGCCAATGACCAAGAAAGAATTCTTGAGACATCTTTGGTGCCAAATGGTGGTTTATTGAAGCACAGGGACAGGACCCGTGGGCAGGAAGAGCTGCTGCCCCAGGGATGTGAGGAGTGGTCTATTATATACTAGTAAGTTGGGGAGGGGATTAGGAATGATGTAAGTCTCTAGGGAATTTTGGAAGCAAGGTTTCTAGGACCTTGAGGGGCTAGCTATTTCTGGGGAAAAGGTTATCATTACCAGTAATAAAAACTTCTCGTGAGACCCTTTAGATGTATATCAGTGGGCCATATGCTTGGGAATGATTGTCAACACTATCTTGGAGGTTTAGAGATAAAGTTTCCTAAAGGAATTGTTAAAGAAGACTTATAGGATCCTGGTTGGGGGTAGGGAGTTGGCCAGGCTAAGATTGTCCTTTGCCTTTAGCAAAGCCTTAAGGTGGAGGTCACTCTGCCTGTTTTAAGGGCTTGTCAGTAGGTAAGGAAATTTAATAATTATTCTTCTGCCTCTGTGTCCCACATCAAAAGCACTCTCTGGCATTGAGTTCTGGCTTCCCCACTTTTTAGCAATATGACCTCGGGTCTGTCACTTCTCTGTGCCCTTGGCTGCCTACCGGAGAGAAATGCTGACTAGGAGCGGTCTTCTCATGGCAGGTTGTAAGGATGGCGTGGAGCCCTTCGGCAGTGGCTAGTATACAGAAAGTCCTCAAAATGTGTTTGTTATTCTTCTGCTGGTTTGAAAGCTCTGTATTGATTATATTTCACACTGTCAATTTTTAAAGATACATATTTTTTAATAATGTGAAAAGTTATTTGATATTACTTCCTCCTCTTGGCCACTACAAAACCCAACGTTCTTTACCTTCCCCTTAAACATTTTTTATTTGTGATTGTTATTTAGAATTTATTTTTAAAAAACATGCCTTTTTTTTTTTTTTTTGCCGTCATCAGATTACTAAATTTAACAATATATTGTGACTCTTCTGGACTTGTCCTTGGGTTCCTCTTTCTTCTTGATTTAGTGTATTTTTTTTTTTTACCAGTTTTTTATTTTTATTTTTTTAATGAGGGTCTTTGGGCATCTGAACTATGCTTTTATAACTAGATAGGCTTTTATTTTGTTCTAACTTGTGAGTAAGGGTTTACTGGGATATAAAATTTCACAATACTGGTAAGGCTTCCTGAAAGTTCATGAACCTCATTGGACATCACTTTTTTTTTTTTTTTAAACACTGTCTATCAACTACAAGATCACAAAATTGTTCTGAGCACTACAGCAGAGAGAGGCAGGGGTAAGGATTTCAATATCCGGGATCTCTCCAGTTTGTTTCCACTTTGTTTCTATGTTGGTTGTTATTGATGGAATCAGATAGTGTAAACATCGTAGCTTGGATAACATCCTTCATCCTATGAAGGAATATGGGCAAGATTTGTTCTCTGTGTGATTCAACTTTTATTTCTCCAGTAACATTGCACTTTTGAAGGTACCTTTATTTGTATGGACTCTAAATAAAAGGAATTTATTTGTTCAGAAGAAAAAATTGTATTTTGAATACATCTTTTGATTGCTTTTTGGCCTCTGTTGCTAGTAAATTTGTGGTAAATTTAATTCTCACTCCTCTGGAAGCAATTTTTCTATTCATTAGGATATGATTTTATCACTATATATCTTGCTCATGATTCATAGTGACTTCTGATCTGTCCATACATCTGCTGTTAGGAGTAAATAAAATAACCAGACCCCTGCTTACCTCTCATTGTTCATCTTCATGTTACCCTTCTCTCACTCACCACATTCACACCACCTGCACTTTCTAGATGTCCAAAGGTCCTCTTCTCTTAGAGAGTCTTGACACATCTTGCTGGCTTTGACCTGAAAACTCCCTTCTACATCTTCTCCTGAAACCTATTTATCCTTCAGGTCCCACCTTAAGTATGCCTTCCTTGCAAATGCTTACTCGGAATCCCCTGACCAGCTTAGAGACCACAAAACATTCTCTCAAGGAACTCCATATACTTCCTTTGTAGCTTTTGACAAAGTAGTAAGAAAAAATTGTTCCTTGTATATCTGCCTCCGCCTTTGTATTTTAAGCCCCATGAAGACAGAGACTGTCTTGTTCCCACAGCATCCCCAGTACTTGACTGCGCCCATCTTGTGCTTCCCAGAAGCAGATGTCAAGAAGGGTTAGACATACAGGAGATTTCTTATGTTGTAAAGGCTAAAGGGGAAAGAGGGCAGAAATCAATAGGGAGAGTCAGGGAGAGGGGGAAGGAAGGGTTGAATAAGAAGAGTGTTAGACTTCAGCACGACATTGAAAAAATCTGGGCCAGGTCAGTGTGGAGTCTGCAAGCAAAAGCTGCTCCTTAGAGAAAGCCTGTGTTGGGCAAAAATCTCCAGCATGGGTCACCCTCCACCCCCTGCCGCTGCTGGGCTCAGCATTGACCCAGAAGAGTTCAGAGACGGGCTTGGACAAGTTTGTCACAGCAGATCTGGAGTTGTGACAGCTGAGCTGGGAATGCCAGGCAATAATGCTCCCACAAAAGGTCCTCTTGAGGGGGTTCTGGGTGGGTCTTCCCGTGGGCCCCAGGCTCATGTGGTTTCTGGAATGGATTGAATGGGCTCCCCAGAATCAATGTCTATGTCTCGGTGCCTGGACCCTGTGAATGTGAACTTATTTGGAAAAAGGGTCTTTGCTGATACAATTAAGAAAATGAAGGATCCCGAGATGAGATCTATAGCTGCATGAGGCTGGTGAAGGCTGCATTGGGCAGTCCAGACCCAGAACCTATCCACCGTCCAGGGAGATCCTTCAACAGTACAACTCCTAATTATGCTGTTTATTGCAAGCAATGTGATATATAAGTGTGTGTGTGTGTGTGTGTGTGTGTGTGTGTACACTCTCACACGCACAACACCTAAAATCTTACAGAAGGACTATCTGAAAAATGCCCACTTCCTGCGCCCAGCAGCAGGCCTCAGTGTGGGTCAGATCCTTTCTTGAGACTGGTTTGGTGCTCTTCCTCTCTCTTACTTCTTTTATTTCCTCAAAATTCTGCTGGAAGAGCAAAGAGTTCAATAAAAAAAAGAAGTATCTCCCACTGACTTGTATTCCCTAACTGATTTCAGTGTCTTTTATTTTTGAAGAGAACTTTCTCAAGACAATAATTCTTAGTTTATGCTGCCTCTCTGTGTCTGTGGACTCATATTTCCAAGCTCTCTCTCTTCTCCAAATGTTATTGTCCGAGGAACTGCTGTGACCCAGAGGGACTGTCCCATTTGGTCTTTCAGGTGTGTTGGGCTAGAAAAATCCTGAAAACAGTCTGTGAGCATTGATATGCTTTCTTATCGTCACCTGATGGTGATCATATGAACATCCACACTCACGTACAGCTCTGTGAGATGATTCACAGGGAGTCGGCAGAGCGCTCCGTCTTTACAGGAGGCCATGACTCACAAGTTCTATCCCTGAGAGGAATACAGTTATGCAAATAACAAAAAAGTTACCCATTTAGAAACATATCTGCTTTGGGAAGCCAATTTGCCAGAAATGTGTCTGGTATTATATTGCTTATCCTGTTTTACAAATGAAAAGAAATCTGTGTCTTGTGGTTTTGCTGAACCTTGGCTACTATTAATTACCAATGAGATGGGACTTTGAAAAATTTCCGATTTCATTTAGTGTCTTGCATAGCATGATGCTCCTAATCCTAACAGTGTTAAACAGACTACAATGTCTGCATCAGGGCCCCCTTACTTTTGAAAAGGCATTCCTTCTTTCTCCCAAATGGTCACATTCCATTGGCTCATTTTGCAGAATATTACAAAGCTGTCCTCTAGGACGAGCTTCCGAAAATAGAAGCTCTAAGGAGGATAGTTGTCACCTAGGCAGTATGTGTCTTCTCTCAGTCCTGGGAGGTTGTTGCTTCAGCAGCCTTTATGGTGCCAACCTTTTGCTTATTAACATTTTTTTTAAAGGAAAGATTGAAGCTCTTCTGTTAATCTAGATCCCCTTTGGGTATTTTCATTATGCTTCTCATTAGTCAGCATCTTGGACAGGAGTACAGAGAATTAGGTTTGGAATGGAGGACAAGAAATAAATAGGGAAGGAAGAAGCCAACTTTGTAATGACTTTTGGTAGCCAGTCAGCATTCTGAAATTAAAAAAAAAAAAAAAAAGTAATCAATTATCAGAGTTGTGGTGTTTGGACACTTCCTATTCTGTGTGCTTCATCCGTTTATTGTGTTAATTCTGCTTTATAATTAAGTTTTTTTTTTTTTAATTTATTTGACAGAGAGAGACACAGCAAGAGAGGGAACACAAGCAGGGAGAGTGGGAGAGGGAGAAGCAGGCTTCCCACTGAGCAGGGCTTTCTCCCGATGCGGGGCTCAATCCCAGGACCCTGAGATCATGACCCGAGCTGAAGGCAGATGCTTAGTGATGGAGCCATCCAAGGACCCATATTGTGTTGACTCTTTAGCTCTTAGTTCTTTACAATTACTCACCACACAAGCCCCACTAAGATGAAACTACAGCACTTTATAAGACGTTTATGTTGTAAGAAACAGCAACATTCCTGGAGGTAATAATACTGTTTTAATTCTTGCAGTGCATGAATAGTTACAGAGGATTTTCCCATTCACTGCTCTACTTGGTCCTAAGAGCAATCCTGTCTTGTGGAGCGCTATCTTGCACTGTGATGGATAGTGTGTTAGCTTTGCAGAGAAATGGCCCTGAGTTGTAATTCCATCTCTGTCACTTTCTAGATGTAGGACTCATATGGACTGAATGTTTGTGTCCCTTCATAATCCATATGTTGAAGACCTAACCCCTCAGTGTAGTTGTAGTAGGAGATGGAGCCTCTAAGGAAGTAGCTGATTGCGGTCATAAGGATGGTCTCTGATCTGATAGGATGAATGTCCTTATGAGGTGAAACACTAGAGAGGGTTCTTTCTCTCCCTCTCTCTCATTCTTTCTGTCTCTCTGACATCTTGCTCCCTCTCCATGCATACAAAGGCCATTTGAGGACATACCAAAAAGGTGGCTGTCTAAAAGCCAGGAAGGGAACTCTCACTAGAAATCAAATTTTCTGGCACCTTGAAATCACGGACTTCCAGCTTCCAGAACTGTGAGAAAATTAATTTCTGTTGTGTAGGCTACTTAGCCTCTGGTATTTTGTTATGGCAGCTTGAGCTGATTCATACAAGGATCTTGGATGCATTCACAAATATCTGAGTCACTTCTGTATCATAAAGACTTGGAGTTTCAGGTCACGGTGTCTTAGAGTCATTTATTCAGTGTTCTGTTTAATGATCAACTCCTCAGAAAGGCTTTTATTACCTAAGACAGTGGCCACTATCACACTCTACCTCCTACCTTGTTTTTTTTTTTTTTTTTTCTCCTGAGACCAAATCTACTTGACATCATATTAGTTTGTTTATTTCTTTATGCATGTGTACCTCTCTCACCAGAATATAGGCATTATGAAAGGAGGCCGTTGGTCTGCTTTGATTTTTACTGTATCTTTATAATCTAGAAGAGTGCCGGACACATAGTAGTAGCCAATAAATACTGGTTAAATACATAGGTTTCTGGGGGGAATTAATGGAATGCATATGTTTTGAATCTTAGAGGGTATCTTTCTCTTAGTAGGTCCTCAATGATAGTAACCATGATTAAAAGGATGGCATACGAACACAAATTTTACTCTTCCATTTTATCAAAAGGCATTTTCTTAATTCCTCCCTATATGCTAGTCACTAATCTAGGACATGCAAACAAGTTCAAGGTTATACAATTAATTAGAGGCTGATAAAATCTCGATCATTTGGGAGTATCCAAATCTTCTGGAGATTAGATCTAATCTTACCAGTAATAATTTGTCCACTTACCTCTACCATTTAAGTTGAAAATGTAGCTAAATTATTTTATTTTGCTACTAGTTCCCATCTGTGAAATGAAAGAACAGGCAGAAAGGAATTTCAAGTCAAATAAAAAACTATTTTGTATGTATTGAAAGGTTTGTGGTTGTTACAACAACGTAATGATGTGGTTAATAGGAAGATGAGAGATGACACAATAGAAAGATATAATTTGAAAAAATAAGCATGTGAAATTTATTGAGGTGGCTACACTACGGAGAATGTTGATGTCCCCCCAAGAGAAGTAATAGTTTCTCAGTTTTCTAAAGTCCACAAAAACATAGAACTGCTCACAGACCTGCCAGGGTAACTCACCTTTTCAAAAACTCTGGCTACAAGTCCCTCTGTTCATGAAGAGTGAATAATGAATGTACACTACTGCAGTACATTCTTGGGTGTACTTTGATTAGGTGAATCAAAGACCCATTTTCTAGGCCAATGAGAGAAGAGTTTGGAGACATTGGGAATTGATCCAGGAGTCTCACATCTGTCCAGTAAGAGGCCCCAAGGAAGTCAAAGCAACTATGGGAGATTAAATATGGCCACAAATTCTTTCCAGCTCCTCCCATTGATATATGGAGTCTGTTTCCCTAGTCTTGAATCTAGGTAGTTCTTGTCACTTGCTTTGACCAATAGAAAATGATGGAGGTGATGTGTGACTTCATTTAGACTCTAGGAGCCCCTGAAGTTTCCATGTGTGTCTTCTTAGAATGCTGCATTGAGTCTCCCATGGGATGAAGAAGACCAGATGGAGAGAGTGTTCCAGTTGAGCCCAGCCTGGGCTGACTTGCCAGCTGAAAACAACAGCATGAGTGACCTCAGGTAAGGCCAACAAAAGAACCACTCAATTAGTTCACAGAATTATGAGAAATAATGAAGTGCTTTGAGTCTTGAAGTTTCGACATGGTTTGTTATGTTGTGACAGATAACTAATAGAACAACAATAGAGATTAGAAAAACAAGAGGAGAAAATATATCTGAAGAAAATATATCTGACATGCTGAAGAATGGCACATCTTCTTGAGTGCTGAACAGGATGAATTTTTTAAAAAGACTCATATCTGGATACATCTTAATGTGTCTACTATCAAAATCTCTAAGATGAAAAGAAAACTCTAAAAGTGTCCAGAGCAGAAAACAAACAGACAAAAACAATTCCTGCTCCCCAAATATTTGTCATTGGCAGCACTTGGACACTAGAATAAAAGGAGACATAAATATCAAAGTCTTGATTTAGAATATTTTTGATCCTAGAATTCGATACCCAGCCCAACAACATTTAAGTGTAAGAGCAAGAGGAAGAAAATTTAAGACCTGCTAGAACCCAGAAAATTTACCAGCCACATACATTCTCTGAAATATTTACTCAAGGATATATTACAGCAAACTGAAAAATGAATCAAAGAAAGAGTAAGACCTGATATATAAGAAATTGACAGGTAAACAAAATCAGTAAAACACAGAATTAATCTTTGATGCCTAATATGGAAAACAATTCATAGTAACCTATCTGGAAGTAAAGTCCCATAATTTATGACCTGATGTATTGTGGGATTGGTAAAGTGATTGAATGCTAAGTTTCTTTTCCTCTTTAGGGAAATATGTAAATATTGATTTATTTCATGTAACTATAGAAGAATATAGATTTTAATAGTTCTGTCAAGAATGTAAAGCCACCTGGGTGGCTCCGTGGGTTAAAGCCTCTGCCTTCAGCTCAGGTCATGATCCCTGGGTCCTGGGATCGAGCCCCACATCAGGCTCTCTGCTCAGCAGGGAGCCTGTTTCCTCTTCTCTCTCTCTCTCTGCCTGCCTTTTTGCCTACTTGTGATCTCTGTCAAAGAAGTAAATAAAAATCTTAAAAAAAAAAGGATTATTAAAAAAAATGTAAAGGCAGTACTGAAAAAAGAGAAAAAGTATGTATAGGGTTCTAAACCACTAGAGATAAAAATTTACAGCACCATCAAAAAACCCCACTTGCTGGTTAATAGAAAATACAAAAAAAAAACCTAAAAAGAATACTTCTAAACATATCAATATTGCCCTAATTATGGATGGATACATTTCACACAGATGCTTGGATTGGGGATTATGTGTGGGATTGTACAATCTAGCTCAGTGTTGGCTACAATGGAAAGATTTAAAAGACACAGACAATCTAAAAATAGAGAAAAAGAACATGATATGCTGGGTCTTCAAATTCAGCATAGCAGACAGAATGTGTATGTTTTTCTCCACCTCCTCTCACAGGTCCATTAAAGAGAAAGCAAAGGAAGGCTTGATCCTACAAGGACAAAGAGACAATAGCAGTTTTCTGAAACTAGAAATCAGAGAGAAAAGTGGTAATTGACCTGGCCAACCAGAGAGAGAGGGCATGGGAGCCTGGGTAAAATCTCTAAAAGGCTGAATAATCATGAAAAGCCTGAGAATTTGGTGTTAGGTACCTATAAATGTGCAGATATCTGAAAGGCCAAAGAAAGGAGAATGGTTAAAACAATTGGGTTCCTAGATGCCCTCCTTGTGCCATATATCCAGTTGATTTCCCACATGTTAATATAACATTGGAGATTTATTCTTAGGTGAGGATGAACTGAAGGGATTCTGAACTGGGCACACCAAGTTCAAAGTGTGAATACCATACTGAAAAAGGAGGATTAAGTGAGCATTACCATTTTCACCATCATCCAATGGTGAAAACTCTAGTGTAAGGGCCTATGTAGCCAGAGCGATTCCATCCGGTTAAACAATGACTTTGAATGACTTTGTTTATACAGTAAAACTTAAACTGTCCCTGTCTCCCCCACCTCCAGGGGACTTACTTAAAAGCAAGTCCCAGAAACCAGTCCCATATAACAAAGCCCAAATACAAGTGTGGGTCAGGCCAGGTGGAGGTATCCAATCAGTGGGGGCGCATACTGTCTCCCTAGCTACCAAGGAGTATGGGCCCCGCCCTTTGGGAGCCTTTTGGGTGCCAATTCTGACCAAGGTGATAGGCTAGTTCAAATACCTACTATAGGGTAAGTTGTAATTCAATTGATTCAATTGGTCACTTATGTGTGACCTAGCATGATTGTGCAGCTTTCTCTGTGTGTTACAATCTCATTGGCCACCTGTGCATGGCCAGGCCCAACCACATAGCCTTTGCCCTTAAAAGCTAGTCAGTTAAGCAGAGAGAGGTCGCCTCTTTGCAAGAGATGGCCCTGGCCAGTTGGTTTGATTCTTGATGCTTGGCACAAAATAAAGCTTTGCTTGACCCTCGCTTTGTATCAGCCTCACTCCTTTGACCATGGACTCAACACTAGAACCTTTTTAAAAAGATGCTTGTAACTATTAGTTAATTTTCTCTGATTTCTGGGACATTGACCAGCCCAAGATCTATAGACATTGTCAGTTGATGGTTTTACCCATGGAGAGGTAATTTCTCTTTTCTCACTCCATCCCCCAATCTCATATACACTGAGTTTATGTCAGCTTGTAGTTGTACGTCACTTTGCGTATGAATAGGTAGTAAATAAATAACAATCAGGAGAATTATCTATCAAGAAAGATGGAGGCCAAACAAACAAATGGAATAAAGGTCCTTATAGGAAACAGAGACAAGTAGAGGGAGAAGAAAATCAATTAACTGTAATTAACATTCCTGGAAAATATGTGAAGAATAGCATTCATGAAAAAAGCCAAAATATATATAAAAAGAGAAAAATAAAGAACCTCTGAAAATTAAAAATAAAATAGTGGAAATTATGGGTCATGGTCTCTGAAGATAGTAAATATGGACAAAAGGAGCGATCTCTACTCCTTACCCCAAAGAATTCACCATATAGAAATGAAAAAACAGTTATGTCTTAAAAAAAAATTAAAATGAAATTAAGACCGCTAGAAATGAAGATTTGTGGGGTTGACTACAACAATCTTCAGAGGAAAATATCTATAAATGTATTTTTTTCCTTCTTGGCTCACATATAAACTACATTTCCCAGCTTCCCCTTCAGTTAGGTGGAACCACGTGATTGAGTCCTGGCCAGTGGAATATGGGAAGAAATAATTATGCTCCTTCCACACCAGACCTCTGAAAAAGCTTGTTCTCTAAGTCTTCCTTATTCCTTTTCTCTCTCTTTTCTCATTAGTCAGCCAGATGGAAGGATTCAGTGGAGGTAAGTAGTGAGTGTCAGTAAACATTACCCCTGCTTCTGTTGCTGCTGAGACTGTTCTGGTTTTTCCAGTGGTGACAGTAGTGTGTGTGTAGGGGGCAGGTTATTTATCCCTGTGATGAGGGAACAGAAGGCTGGCTGAGCACAAAGCAAAAGACTGATACCCTGCAACCTTCCCCCACCTCCACTCCTGGGTGGGACACATGTGACAAGCTTTAGGAATCTCCCAACTATCTTAATGTTAATACCTTGCTAGAGGGAAAAACCTTGACAATGGCAAAGCCTCAAGGCCTCCGGTATCTTGTAGGTCCTCTTTAGCATATGAAAGTTCTTTTGAAACCTCCCTTTTTCTTTAACTCTCCCAACTCCATAGTATATAACCTGCCTCCACTCACAGCCCAGGGGCAGCAGCTCTTTCTGCCCACTGGTCCTGTCCCCATGCTTTAATAAACCACCATTTTGCACCAAAGATGTCTCAGGAATTCTTTCTTGGTCATTGGCTCAGGACTCCACCCCACTGAACCTCACCTATATTCTAAAACTCCATCACCTGGTTCTTCAGTGCTCTTAATTCCAGGCTGGCAGAATCCCTAGAAGCTTAGTACAAAGGGAACAAGTTATCTGAAGTTCTTCACTCAGTGGCGCAGTAGTGATGGAACATAAGGCTGACTGAGGACAAAGCAAAAGCTGACACCTTGCAAACCAGCCCCCCCCCGCCCCCGCCCACTCCTGGGTGGGACATATGTGACGTTCTTTAGGAATCTCCCAACTATTCTTAATAGCTTGCTAAAAAGCAGAACGACCTTGGCGATGGCAAGGCCTCTGGTATCTGGTATCTTGTAGGTCCTCTTTAGCATATGAAAGTTCTATTGAAAACTCCCTTTTCCTTACCTCCCCCACCACTCCCATGGTACATAACCTGTCACCCCTCACAGACACGGGGCAGCACCTCTTCTGCCCATGGGTCCTATCCCCATGCTTTAATAAACCATAATTTTGCACCAAAGGTGTCTCAAGAATTCTTTCTTGGTCATCGGCTCCAGACCTCACTCCACAGACTTGGAGAGGTATCTTTATCACAAGCTAAGATGCTCTGTGTGTCATTCTTTTTGAGTTTGAAGCAATTCATTTATTCATTCGTCTGTTCATTTTCATTTTGGGAAATAACTTTTTAAGCATCTATTGAGTCGGTGGTTCCGGGAGTGCAGGAGGAACAATAGAAATGACCGCCAGGGCAGCCATCTTCCAGTCCCCTCCCCTGCCTTCCTTAACCCTAGACTCTCCCGCCATAAGGGTGTACGCCCAGGTCACGTCTCCATAGGTAACCCGATACCTATGCAGGAAACAGGAGTATCAGGAGACCTCACCCCATACGTTCTGATCACCAAATATGGATGTGAGCCCAAGCCCTACCTTGGCCCGATAAAAGACCCCCTCAACTCCCTCCCAGAGCGACATCCCCCACTCCCCTTTCCGAAGTCGAGGAACCTCGCCCGAGGGTGCCCACCTCCTCCCAGCGCGACTTTCCTGGCTCCCCTTCTCCGGAGCCCTGAAACTTTGCCGGAGAGTGCCTTTAATAAATCTTGCCTTGCGCCTACCTTGCCTGGTGGTGTGTTTACCTCGCCTGCTAAAGTTTACAGCATCTACCTATCGAATCTACTATCCTGGGCATGG